GCAGTGATAGTGCTGAGACTTAACCCCAGGCCACCAGTGAAGCCCTAGGGGAAAATATTTTAAAATTTGCAAAACCAATTTAGTATGCTTGTTACTGTACTAGCTTGTTTTCTCTTTAATGGAAAAACTAAATGCAAAGTTTCTATAGTGGCTATAGCACTTAAAAAAAAAGAAATCATCAGTTAAGAACAGAGTAACTCAAAACTAAGCCTGCGACACACTGCTCACCTCGCCCCAAACCAAGCTGCTTCTCTTCAGAAGGTGGCGTCTAGCTGATGCAGCTTTCTGCAGGGAGGAAGGCCACGATCAGACTGGCAGGCAGGCGGGGGCCCGGCCAGGACCTATCTGTGGCCCTGTCCCAATCTGACCCTGATCTGCCTGCTTTCAGCACTTACACATAAAATTTTGCGGAAGCCTTAAGATTCCTCCTTGCAGAAAAACTCAGGTGCATAATTATTCCCTTCTCATAATAAAGCAATTCTCAAGTAGCAATTAAGTTATATATATATTTTTTAAATAACAAGATGGCCAGTAGAACCCGTTTGACATGTACCTTAATTAACAACCACTGAGTGGTCACTGCCAGAGGTGATTCTAGACAGAGGACAACTTGAAATTAGAGCAGTTTCACAATAGAAAACTATTTCCACTGGGAGGTAAAGGGAATATTTTATTTTCAAACAACAAGGGCCAAAGACCAGATTTTCTATAAGTGCAATAAAACATGTTTAGAAAGGTTACGCTAGAGCCCCCAAAAGTATAGCGATGGGAATTGTTTTTATGGTTTTGTGACAATTATAACCTCCTAGCTATTTTAGGTCTTGAGAGAAAATGTTCAGTCAAAAGACTAAAATCATACAGAGCATTTAATATTTCTAGACAATTGTCTGATAACAAATTTTAATACAAGAAATTATTCATAGCACTAAATTATATTTCCCAAACACTTGGATAAGCCACGCTGAGAAGAGGGCGGCGGAGCAGCGCACTGGCGCACGGCTGCCCACACAGGCCACGCGACGCCAGGCCGGGGCGCGGCTCACTTGCTGCAGGCCTTGTATCTCTCAGCCACGTTCTCCCAGTTGATGACATTCCAAATAGCTTTCAGGTAGTCAGGCCTGACATTTTTATACTGAAGGTAGTACGCGTGTTCCCACACTTCGATCCCCAGCAGGGGAATAAGGCCTGTGGTCCCTTGCAGGGGGTCCTGGTTCGAGCAAGCAGCGATCTGCAAGCGTCCCTGCTCCTTATTGAAACCGAGCCAGCCCCAGCCTGAGCCTTGCACGCCAACCGATACAGCTGTCAACTTCTCCTTAAACTTGCCAAAGGAACCGAAGTCCCGCTTGATGGCTTCTAGCAATTCCCCTTTGGGCTCTCCTCCACCACTTGGGCTCAGGTTCGTCCAGAAAATGGTGTGATTGATGTGGCCTCCACCATTGAACTTCAGCGCGGGCTGAAGCGCTACCTGAGTTGTCATGTCACCCCTGGCCAGCGCCTCCTGGTACTTCTCCTCGGTGGCGTTCAGGTTGTTGACGTAGGTGGCGTGGTGCTTGCTGTGGTGCAGCTGCATGATCTGGGCGCTGATGTGCGGCTCCAGGGCGCCATAGTCATAGGGCAGGTCAGGGAGGCTGTGCTTCA